CACCGCCGCCGCCGCCGCCGCCGCCGCGCAACGTCAGCGCGCACGGCGCGCACGCTTGCGTCGCTGCGTCACGGCGCCGCCGCCAACGGACCAATGAGAGAGGGCGGAGAGGCGCGGGGCGGGGAGGGGGAGGACCAATGGGAGAGCCCGGCGCAGGCGCGCGCGCGCTGCGGGGGCGGGGCCCGGAGGCCCCTCCCATCACGGCGGACCACGCCCCCTTCTCCCCGCGCCAAACGTCAATCACAGAGGCCACGCCCTTCCCGTGGCCACGCCCCACGCGGCCTCGCCCTGCCCGCGCCGGGGGCGGGGCCTGGGAGCCCCCCGGGACCCCCCCAGTGCCCCCCAGTAACAATGGGCTGTACTGGGCTGGGCTGGGCCCTGCTGGGCTGTACTGGGCTGGGCTGGGCCATACTGGGCTGTACTGGGATGAACTGGGGGGCACTGGGATGTACTGGGGGGCACTGGGAGGTGCTGGGAGGCACTGGGGGGCACTGGGGGGCACTGGGCTGTACTGGGAGGTGCTGGGAGGCACTGGGACATACTGAGAGGTACTGGGTCTGAACTGGTCTGCACTGGGCCATACTGGGAGGCAGTGGGATGTACTGGGAGGCACTGGGTCTGTGTTGGTCCGCATTTGGCCATACTGGGCTGTACTGGGCTGGGCTGGGCCCTGCTGGGCTGTACTGGGCTGGGCTGGGCCATACTGGGCCATGCTGGGCTGTACTGGGCTGGGCTGGGCCCTGCTGGGCTGTACTGGGCTGGGCTGGGCCATGCTGGGCTGTACTGGGCTGGGCTGGGCCATACTGGGCTGTACTGGGCTGTACTGGGATGTACTGGGATGTACTGGGATGTACTGGTTTCTGCTGTGTCTTTATCAGTCTGGTGTGGTTGTGCTGGGCTGTGCTGGGCCATACTGGGCTGTACTGGGCTGTACTGGGCTGTGCTGGGCTGTGCTGGGCCACACTGGGCTGTACTGGGCTGTACTGGGCCACACTGGGCCGTGCTGGGCTGTACTGGGATGTACTGGGCCACACTGGGCTGTACTGGGCTGTACTGGGCTGTGCTGGGCTGTGCTGGGCTACACTGGGCTGTACTGGGCTGTACTGGGCTGTGCTGGGCTGTGCTGGGCCACACTGGGCTGTACTGGGCTGTACTGGGCCACACTGGGCCGTGCTGGGCTGTACTGGGATGTACTGGGCCGTGCTGGGCTGTACTGGGCCGTGCTGGGCTGTACTGGGCTGTACTGGGCCATGCTGGGCTGTGCTGGGCCACACTGGGCTGTACTGGGCTGTAGTGGACTGTACTGGGATGTACTGGGCCGTGCTGGGCTGTACTGGGATGTACTGGGATGTACTGGTCTCTGCTGTGTCTTTTTCAGTCTGGTGTGGTTGTGCTGGGATGTGCTGGGCCATGCTGGGCTGTACAGGGCTGTACTGGGATGTACTGGGCCATACTGGGCTGTACAGGGCTGTACTGGGCTGTACTGGGCTGTACTGGGCCATACTGGGCCATACTGGGCTGGGCTGGGCTGTACTGGGCTGTACTGGGCCATGCTGAGATGTACCGGGTTATACTGGTCTGTACTGGGTCATACTGGCTGTATGCGGCCATACTGGTCTGTACTGGGTCATACTGGCTGTATGCGGCCATACTGGGCCATACTGGGCTGTACTGGTCCGTACTAGGCCATACTGGTCCGTACTGGTCCGTACTGGTCTGTACTGGTCCGTACTAGGCCATACTGGCCCATACTGGTCCGTACTGGTCCATACTGGTCCGTACTGGTCCGTACTGGCCGGTCCCTGTCCCCGCAGGCCCCACGGCGACGCCTGGACAGGACCAGCATGGAGCCCTGAGAGGAGGTACTGGGACAACTGGGAGAACTGGGATCACTGGGGTCTAACTGGGACAACTGGGATCTAACTGGGATCCGTTGGGATCTAACTGGGATCACTGGGATTTGGTGCTGTGGGATCTCGTGGGACACGCCGGATCTGCTGGGATCCGTTGGGATCTGCTGGGATCTGCTGGGCTGTGTTGGGATCTCCTGGACCCTGCTGGGATCTGCTGGGATCCACTGGGATCCTCTGGGCTCTCCTGGGATCCGCTGGGCTGTGCTGGGATCCGTTGGGATCTGTTGGGATCTGCCGGGATACTCTGGGACCTGCTGGGCCCTGCTGGGATCTCCTGGGACCTGCTGGGATCAACTGGGATCCGCTGGGATCTGTTGGGATCCGCTGGGATCTGCGGGAAACCTCTGAGACCCTCTGGGCCCTGCTGGGATCTCCTGGGACCTGCTGGGCTGTGTTGGGCAGTGCTGGGATCTGCTGGGGTCTGCCGGGATCCCCTGGGATCCACTGGGATCCTCTGGGCTCTGCCGGGCTCCCCCGTGCCCCCCGTGACCGCGCTCTCGGCCCCGCGCTCTCGGCAGGCGCGGCCGCGGGGATGGCGAAGCTGCTGGTGCCGCTGGTGATGCTGGGCGCCGTGTCCGGGCCGGGGGTCCCGGCGTCGCCGCCGTCGCCGCGCTGCCCCCCGCGCTGCCTGTGCCCCGCGGCCGCGCCCAGCCCCACGCTGCTGTGCGCCCGCACGGGGCTGCTGGCCGTGCCGCCCAGCCTGGACCGCGGCGCCGTGGAGCTGCGCCTGGCCGACAACTTCATCGGCGCCGTGGGCCGCGCCGACTTCGCCAACATGAGCAGCCTGGTGCACCTGACGCTGTCGCGCAACGGGCTGCGCCGCCTGGCCCCCGGCGCCTTCGCCGACCTGCGCGCCCTGCGAGCGCTGCACCTGGACGGCAACCGGCTGCCGGCGCTGAGCGGGCCGCAGCTGCGCGGGCTGGCCAGCCTGCGCCACCTCATCCTGGCCAACAACCAGCTGGCCGCCATCGACGCTGCCGCCTTCGCCGCCTTCGCCGCCACCGTGGAGGACCTGGACCTGTCGCACAACAACCTGCCGGCGCTGCCCTGGGACGCCGTGGCCGCCATGGGCAGCCTGGCCACGCTCACTCTGGACCACAACCTGCTGGAGCGCGTGCCGGCCGGCGCCGTGGCGCGGCTGCCGCGCCTGGCCAGGCTGGACCTCACGGCCAACCGGCTGCGGGCGCTGCCGCCGGTGCCGGGGCCGCCGGGGCCGGCGCTGGCGGCCGGGGGGAACCCGTTGCACTGCAACTGCGAGTTGCTGTGGCTGCGCCGCGTGGCTCAGCCGGGCCGCCTGGAGACCTGCGCCACGCCGGCGCCACTGGCCGGGCGGCTGCTGGGCGCCGTGCCCGAGGAGGAGCTGACCTGCCGGGCCCC